CCTGTGCTCCCAGCTACTCGGGAGGCTGAGGCAGAAGACTCGCCTAGGCCCAGGAGCTGGAGGTTGCTGTGAGCTGTGACTCCATAGTACTCTACTCAGGGTGACAAAGTGAGACTCTGTCTCTAAAAAAAAAAGAGTAACTAAGACTCAAATCCCAGTCAGTAAGAGAGCCTCTACTACTTGAGACTTTGCCCTTCTGAGAAGTAAAGCCCAGGTGTGTGGCAGGTGGAGAGGAGGGGGATTGGGGGAGACTGGGGACAGGGAGGTTAAATCTAGGTGGTCCTCTTCCATCCCCAAGCACCTGCCCCCAAATGACTGGCTCGGAAATGGGACAGAGGGATTTCAGGCCCTCAGGATTTCGTCCCCTCCCTCAGCTCTGACTCCCGCCTTCACCCCACCACGCTGGGACGCCCCAGCTCCCCCGGGTAGCCCAAGGAACGTGCAGACGGAGGTGGGAGTGGGTAAGAGGGAGAGCTGCCAGGAGAGACTAAGGGACGGAGTCAGAGGGAGAGGCCCAAAGACGCAAGGAGGCTGGGGAGATAGGAAAAGTGGGACAAGGACACGGAGGCCGGACCCTAGCTCAGCCACACCCAGCTGGCCCATCCAGTGGAGCGGGGCTGGTCTGTGCTGCCCCCTGGCGGGTGGCTGCGAAAAGAGGCGGCGTGAGAGCCGGTTTGGAGGAGAGGATGCAGGGTGGGCCGGAGACGTGGAGAACAACGAGAATGGGAGAAACACCGAGAGAAAGAGACATGGAGATAGAGACAGAAAGAGAGGGAGACAGAGTCAGAAAGACACACACATAGACACAGAGAGAGATAGACATACAGAGACAGAGTCAAAGAGATGGAAACAGACCCGGGTACTAAGTGACACAGAAACAGTAACAGAGACCAGGAACACAGACAGATGCCAAAGTATGAGGATAGAAGGACACAGAGATAGAGAAATACCAAAAAGGGAGAGGGAGACCCAAGATAGACACAAAGAGACATTAAGAAATTCAAGAAACGATGCGGCAACACCTAGAATCTAGGCAGAGATTATAAAGAGACCACTGCTGAGAGATGACCACAGACGCGGGACAGACTTAGGGCAAGTGGCAAGACGGTGGAGAAAGTTCCTTCACCCTGACGGGTGGGGGCGGGGCTCCAGAAGGGGTGGGCCTTTGCGAATCCACGTGCCTCACTCTGGTGTGACCAAGAGGGTCAAGGCCAGGCTGAAGAGGGAGGGATTAGAACTGTGGGCGGGGCTGAATCCAGGACTCACTGAGCCGCGAATAGACTGGACAGGGTTCTCGGAGGGCGAGGGGCGGAGCCCACACGAAAGGCGAGGCTTCTCGGGGGCGGAGTCTGCTGGAAGCGCCAAAGGGGGCGTTGTCAAAATGTTAGTTGGGAACCTAACAACCGGGGACCTGGCCAGGGAGCCTCACGGGCGCAGAGAAGGCGTGGTTAAACTCTAGGGGGCGTGGCTTAACACCCTCAGCTGGAGATAGAATTCTAGAGGAGGAGCAATCATAGACTTGGGGAGGGGCAGTACGGAATCCTAGAGAGGGTGGAGAATGGAATCCCTGGGAGGAGCTGGAGTGAAATCCGGGGGGGCGGGGTCAGAACACCAGGAGGGGGCGGGGGCGGAGTCCAGGGTCTGCCGGGCTAGAGGGGAGGGAGGAAGGGGGTGGATCCTGTGACGTCAGCGAGTCCGAACCGCCAGAGCCAAGCAAGGGGCCGGGGGCGCCGATCCGGGAAAGCTGGGCCAGGAGAGCAGAACTGGGAGACCAGAGCGCAGCGGGAACCGGCTGGAGCCGGAGCCCCTCAGGCACCTACTCTCCCGCCCAGGCTATCGGCGCACGTATAGTGGCCCACAGGCCCCCGCCCGGGCCCAGTCCCCTCCCGGGCCCTCCATGGCCCGGGCCGCAGCCCTCCTGCCGTCGAGATCGTCGCCGACGCCACTACTGTTGCAGTTGCTGCTACTGCTGCTGCTCCGGCAAACCGGTGAGATACCATGGACGGTCTCCCCATCCCCCGCTCGGACCCTCCTCTTCCCTTACCTTCGGAGCGGGGGAAGCCTGAACACCTTCCCCCATCCCACCTCTAGTTCACCCTCTTTCTCGTGCTCCCTGGTGCCCCCTTTCTGGCTGGCCTCACCGACTTGTACCCCTACACACCCCACTCTCCCTCTGAGACTCAGACCCCCTCCTCTCTGCATCCCTCTCACCCCCATACCCTTCTTAATCCCAAGTGCTCATTCTACGCCGGACTTCTCTGTTCTCCCCTCCCCCTTCCTCATATTCTTGCGCCGAAAGGGTTAAATCCGAGGTCCGCTGGAGGCCCCGCACCCCTTCCCCACCCACAGCAGAGCTGATAGCCGGAATCCGGGTCTCCGTCTCCACTACCCTCCTCAGAAATGTGGGGAATGTTTCCCCCCACATAAACCCCTTGTAGGAAGGTCGCGATGATGAGGCGAGACCACCCTCCCCATTTTTCCTTCTTGCCGGGTTGGGCGTCTGAGACCAGGAGAGAATTGAGGGAAGGAGGCGAGGTCAGGGGCGAGGAGCTTGGACTTCTAGTCCTTTGAAAGGCGAAGATAAGAGTTTGTACGGCCCGGGAGGTTGGGGTTGGGGGAAGGCCCCGAGCTGAGGTCTCCAATCCTGGACCTCAGGAGTTGAGGGCTCTGACTCCTGGGCTCTAGAAAAATTAGGAGCTGAGAGCTCCTAATTCTCCTAAGTCCCCGGTCGAATGGAGGCTAGGGGCTACAATCTAACTGGGTTGTAGGTAAAATTGGGGGCAAGAAGGGCTCAAACTTGTAGTTTCTAGATTTAAGTGTGTGGGAGGAGGGTTCTGCCTCCTGGATTCCAGGTAGAACTAGGGGCAGGAGGCTCAGGTCTCCTAGGCTTCAAATTTAATTGTGGGCAGAGGAATGTCTTCTGAGATCAGATAGAAATGTGGGCAAGGGACCCTCCCTGTCTCCAGATATGATCAAGGGCCGGAGGAGCTGGAAGCTCCGTGTGCAAAGTCCCAGGTAGAATAAGAGGCCGAGTCCTGGAGGCAGGGAGGCCACCTCCTTCTCTTTGAGTGAACGGTCGGTGGGGGTGTCCCTGGGGAAGTTTTCCCGGTTTCACTTTTCGCCCAACCCGGGCGGGGCGGGGCAGGGCGGGACGAGCGCTCTCTGGCTCTCGGTTCCGGACTCCCGAGTTTCGGGACCTTATCTTTCTTCTTGTAGCTCCTTTGTCTTCCGAGCCGCTGCTGGAGGTGGACGGGCAGAGCCGCCGCCCAAATCCCCCGCCCCTCCCTCTGCTCTGCTCTCCAACCCCGCACTTGCCCCTCAACTCGGGATGGGGCGCGGCCCCTGAGAGGGCGGGGCTGAGAGAAAACAGGTGAAAGAGGCCCGGCCCCGCCCCTTGCAGGTGACCCGGCTATTTATTCCCTGCTACAAACTCTGGGATGCTGAGGTCTGGAAAGGTTTGCCCAGACGAGGGTTCAAGGGAGATCTTGGGGCAACCCTGGTCACTCTTCTGGCCTTATTTTCCCAGAATGTCTCTGAATTGTCTCCCAGTCTTGACCCAGAGCTGGGGAACTGCTTCTTTCATCCCCCGTTTGTCCCTTTTGTGTTAGGGAGGGATGGGATCAGAACCAGCACCTCTGGGTGAATCCTCAGAATCCACCAGATTTTGAGGCTAACATTGACTTGGTGCTTGATTTCACGGGTTCTAGATCACCCTGGGAAAGAGATCCTGTTACTCTTCCCATTTTGCATATGAGGAAACAGGTTTAGAAAGGGTGAGTCACAATCTCAGGATTTGACAGCCAGTCTTTACTAAGCCAGACTCCAACTCTTCAGAGGCTTCACAGGGTGGGCTCTAGACAGTGCCTCCCTCTGAGCTTTCATTTCCTCCTTGTGAAACTGAGATAACAATCCCTTCCCTGCTGGACCATTGGGAAGCTTCAAAGGTCCCATTGAATCTCTGTGAGCTCTGAGCACCTAGGAAGAGACCTTCCTTTCTTGAGCCAACATCCTTTTGCCTCTGCTATGGGCAGGCTCTCTCTCTCCCCCTTCCACCCTCCCTCTCCCTGATTCTTTCCTCTCCTCCTCTTACTCTCTCCCCATCTCTCTCCCTCTCTTTCTCTCCCCTCGTTTTTCTGTCTATCTCTCTCCAAGCTCTTTTACTCTTCCCTTCTCTCCATCTCTCTCCCTCCTTTCCATCCTTCTCTGCTTACCTGTCTTAGATCTCTGCCGAGCCCCTCCTTGGCTCCTCAGGGAATGAGGGTGCACCACCTGGGCCCCCAGCTGGGCCAGCACCCCTCCCCATTCCTCCCCACATTTCACTGTTGTCCCTGTCATCCAGGCAGCCCCACAGTAGTGGAGGGGGATGGGAGAAGAGGGGACTATAGCCTGCTGTCTCCTCTCATTAGAGAAGGGGGACTGGGCAGAGGAGAAGTGAGGGGATACACAGAGGGTAGAGACGGGGACAAAAGCCAACAGAGGGAGGTGATCAGAAACAGATTTAGGAAAGGGGTCAGAGACATACCTAGGAATGGAAGAGAAACATGGAGGGGGAATGGAATACAGTCACAGGGCAGATCACACCAATGGAACAGAGAAAGGTGGGGGAAGGGAGCTAGACATAGAACCAGATGAAGGCAGGGACAGTCAAGGAGAAAGGTTTGGCTGCTGGCAGGGAGCCCAAAAGACCCCAAGCATGGGAGAGTGGAGATGACCAGGACCTAAGGAAGTCAGGGCATGGCAACCTCAGGGCCAACAGCCTGTGGGGGCCACAGAAGGGGTGAACATAAGAAGGACAGGGAGTTGGGCATGAGAGCCGGCTCCCCCGCCACTGCCTGGGACGCTGTTACATTTTTAATGTCCCAGTGATGCTGGGAAATGGAGCAGGAGGGGGAGGAGAGGAGGGGACCCGGCAAAATGGCACAGGCAGTGGTGAATATGTGAGAGAGTGGGAATTGGAGACCAGCAGGCAGAAACAGAGACCCTCAGAGATGTAGACCAGGGAACTTGAGAGATGAGAACCCCCAGGAATTTGATGCAGAGTCAGATTCCAGACACTGGGAGACCCAGACCCAGAAAGAGAACTCAGATGCTGGAGATACAGAGGAAAGACAATACGAGAATGACTAAGGGGTGCAGGATATCTTTTGGGGTAATAAAAATGTTCTAAAATTGACTGTGCTGATGTATGCCCAACTCAGAGAATATACTAAAAGCCGTTGAACCATGCATGCACTCTAAGTGGGTGGATTCTAGCATATGGGAATTATCTTTCAATAAAACTCTTGAAAGGAAAGAATGAGGCTCAGTGCCTGTGGTTCAAGCAGCTAAGGTGCCAGCCAAATACACCTGAGCTGGCGGGTTCAAATCCAGCCCAGGCCGCCAAACAACAATGATGGCTGCAACCAAAAAATAGCCAGCTGTTGTGGTAGGCACCTATAGTCCCAGCTACTTGGGAGGCAGAGGCAGGAGAATCACTTGATCCCAGGAGTTGGAGGTTGCTGTAAGCTGTTATGCCACGGCACTCTACCCAGGGCGACAGCTGAGGCTCTGTCTCAAAAAAAGAAAAGAAAAAAAAGGAGAGAATGAGAGAGATCCTGAGAGAGACAGGCAGAGTCCAGAGACCCTAGGAACTGGAGGACATGGAGGGGCAGGGACCCTAAGAACTAGACACAGAGAGAGATCCTGGGAGACAGAGGCAAAAGACACTAAGCGACACCAGGGAGAGGATTGAAAGACTTTTAAGAGACAGAACCGGCAAGAAGGGAAGGCCAGAGTCTCTGAGAGACAGAGACATTGAGATGTAAACTCAGACTGAGCCGAGGCAGGTGAGCCAGCCTGTCTCCTTGGCTCAGCCTGGAGGAGCAGTCCTGGAGATTCATCCCTAGAAGTATCAGACCCTACTTGGAAGGCCTTCTGCGGCAGTGGGGGTCAAGCACCTATACAGAGGAAGAAAAGGGGTGAAATGTCGGCCTTTGGAGGCAAGGGATCTTGCCCTGCATCTCCCAGAGCTGAGTATGACCAGCAAAGACACGATGGAGGGGTTGGGGAGGCTGAGAGGTAGGTGCAGAAACCCAGGCACAGACAGACAGCACAGAGTCCTGGCTGCTGCTGTCGCTCCCTCCCCAAACTGGCTCTCAGATTTCCCTGTGGAAGTAGGCACTGTGATTAATGCAATTAATGCATTAACGAGGTGGCTGAGGCAGCAGCCTTCAAGGGCCGACTCGGAGTCCTGCCGCACCCTGCCCTAGGAGGGTCACAATGTTTTATAGGTCTGGAGGGGGCAAGCCAAACTCTGAGGAGCCAGCCAGACAGGAATCTAGAAGGCCAGCCTTGAACCCTGCCTCCCTCAGTCCCAGGGGTCTGGGCCCCCAACTCCTCATTCAGACCTGGGGGTCTAGGCCCCCAGCCCCTCCTCCTCTAGAGCTCCATAAATCACTGTGTAGCCTCCTCTTTGGCTTGGCCTACCCTTCCAAAGTCAGAGTCTCAGACTTTGTGTCCCTGTCCCCCAAATTTCTCTCTTGAGCTCATGCAATAACCTGGGCAGCCCTCACTCTCCTACCACAGGAAGCCTGCAGACCCAGTCCCCAGGGAAAGGAAGTGTGTCTAAGGACCCTGCTGACACAACATGAAGCTGTCACCAGTCTAGCTTGCCCAGGGATGCTGAGGGAGGCCACAGTCCCCTGGCTGTGGTGCTGGCTATGGCCCAGCCAAGGTCAGGGCACAGACACCAGTCCAGCAATGTTCTGGGCCATGGGATCCTAACTCCAGGCCAGCCGTCTTCCTGGCTTCATTTCCTTTGCTGTTAGCAGGAACACAGGTCATTTGGGCACTAGCCCAGACTCTGTCCCCCTCAGTGCCACAGCACATCAGCCCTCCAACTCCTACCATCCCAACTTTATAACTCTCCATGGCGCCCGAGTGCCCTAAGGGAAAAGCCCAAACACAAAATCAGCCTCAGCCTATGTGATCTAGGGCACTGTTGTTACCT